TTTTCAATAAATGTATGATATTGGAATAGTGTACTGAAGAAAAGAGTACTTTAACAATTAATATTAGTGACGAGATTTTAATATTTTAGAGTACTGTCTCCAATGGATTTTGTCGACATTCGATAAGCACTACTGGAACAAAAAAGAATTGATCTGCCTTGAATTAAGGATAAGTATTCAGTCAATACCTGGTAAAAATTTATGCGTCGAGCATTGATTCAATGAATGATGAATTCTTCTATTATTGGTGTCAATAATAAATTCATTGGTAATAAATGATTAAGAAAAAAACATCGATCAGAGAAATATCTTAAGATTTTTAATAAGTTTCAGTCATTCTTTGGATTAATATCAATATCAATAAATAAAGAGTAACTATATCATTAATTTCATAAATATTTTTCTAGTTCGTTGAATAATTCTATAATCATTTATTGTAGAGTATATTAACTCCTATAGTGTCAAGAATAAAAAGGTGTTATATTTCTTTTATAAGTTGTTAATAGATTGTCTAGATTTAGTGAAGGAAAAAAACTTGAAATTACTTTGAACTTGCTTTGTCTTCGATTTGTCTGTCTGTCTGTCATTCATACTAAACCGGAGATGACACTTCCCTCTTATGTCACGTACTTTGTTCATTAATCTTTGTCATAAATAGTTACAAGTCAATTATACATGGTAACAAGAAAATCGATTCATTAACCAAGATATCATTAAAAAACTATTGAAATCTATTATATATCAAATTTCTTAATTGATTTAAAGTTTTTTTTTTTTTTTATCAAACAAAAGTGAATTCATCTCAGACGATAATTGCTTGAAGACAAGGACTATGTGACAATAGCATAACATATATGTTTATATATATATACATAAACAAAAAAGTGTTTAAGATTGTTTCTTCGAGGTAAAAATGACTGTGCACTTGTGGCGGTCAGCTGTCGCATTGCATCACCTGCATACATTAGATACACATATGTATATATTTAAAGAGCTCAAATATAACAGTTAGTAGACTGTTATTGGCATTATTTAATAGCTACATTTTCTACATACATAGAATAAAAGAAAGAGAGAGAAAGAAAAAAAAAAAAAGAAAGTTCTTTGTTGTTATATTTTGAAACAGGCAAAGAAAATAATTAGAGCGGCACATCATGAAGAAAAAAAGAAGAAGAAAGCTTTTAGCTTTTTATTGAATGATATCTATTATTCATTCATTGAATTGAGATAGAACGAGTCACAAATACAATCATTACATATATATATAACAACATCTCATCCAGATGCGTTGTTAGGTCCTCAATAGAGTTGAACAAACAAGCAAATATTCGATTAGAAAAGAACAGGTGGTGAAGAACAATTAGACTTTCATTCTCTTTTGGATATATATATATATATGTGGGTGTTGTTATTGCATCATATTGTCTCGCACGCGTTCGTATGGATCCCTGTATAGTATATGTCTGTATGGTGCCTTAAGTGGGCTCTCTTTGCTGTGAAGAGTAAGAGCTCAACCATTAGTCCAATACTGTCCTTGTATTACTATTCTATGGTGATGAGTGACACATTGACACTTGCACTATTCATATTCATTCATTCATTCATTCATTTAGTTACTTATTCGTTCTATCCAGTTTTCAATTGAGCATATCTGGCATGAGCATGTAAAAGAATAACATTTTGTCGAACATACATACATTCAAATAGATTATCGTCAGGCGTCTCGTCCCATTTTTCAACTAGTATATATATGTATATATACATACTTACATGAGAGGCAACTAAGATAGATATTGTTTATAGTAAGTGAATGTTCGTATGCATGCAGGTATTAATTCATTTATTCATTAGCTTAGACAGAACTTATAGTGAATGTATGAATAACAACAGTAGCTGTATTGTCCCGCCTGTTTTTTTCTTGATGAACAACATTGGTTGTCATTGAGATCATTAGTATATCTACATATATGAATTTCTTCTTTGCTTATTAAAAAGAAAAAGAGATTCAAGATAGATCTAACTAGCTCTGATTTCATCAAAAAAAGGAAACATAATCATACACACACACACACATATATATATATATATGTATAAAGACTAGTAAAATCGTCTTATGTCACAAGATTTAAAGAATATGGATTTGATTCACTTTTCTCAATTAGTTATGACCATGTAAGATGGCTTTCCCTTCTTTCTCTATATGTACAAGAAGCGAGAAAGAAAGATTAGGAGAGAAGGAAGAGTAAGTGTTATTTTTTTCGGGAATAAGGCATACACTCGTTCTCTCCTTCTTCTTATTCTCTCGTCATCTCTTGCTTCGTTTCTTCAATTGTTCAACAGACGAACGACTTCACACACGCACACACACATATAGACATATATTCTTTCATTTTTTTTTCTCTATACCGTAGCGTGGCATATGACAATTTATTAATCAGTGAACGACAGCAACAAAATTAAAGAAAAAAAGAAAACAAATTTATCAATTCTTCATTTTTTTTTATTTTACATCTCATCGTCTCGACATACTTGTTCATATAACAAATATATCTATATCTTTTCTACACAAAATATTTTGATATGCCACCATGAACACACTTGACAATTTATTATCATGACTATTCAACTGTTTTTACTTATCATTACCATTACCGGTAGATATACATGTGTTATTTTATTTTAGTTTTTGTTTTTGATCATTTTCATATCTATGGCATTTTCATCGTTCATTAAATATGCATGACTTTTTGAGATAGAAAAACTATGGATGTGTACATATCTAATATAAACAAAAATCATTCAATTAAAGACACTTTTTTTATTCTTCTATTTGATTGCGCGTGCTTTACCCGTTAAGTCAAGGTAGGCATAGCTAATTAATCCCCCGTGTGTAAAACAACAATATTTACGTGGCAAGAAAGAAAGAAGAAATCTTTTCCATTGTTGTTTGCCGAAGGCCGTATGCATCCGAAAAAAAATGTTAAGATAACAGTACGGTGCCTTAGTCACTATAGAAATTGATTTCTATATATTGTTGCTCATTTTGTTTTACTCGATCAAGGAATCCATATTGAGCATTACAATTGAAAGAACAGTTGGACAAGATGAAAGAATTCTTTTATTAATATGATAGTCGCAAGACATCAAATCATAATAGACCCCGCCCTATGAATGATCATTAAATTGAACAGCAGGAGAAGATATATATATATATATATATATATATTATAAATAGAAAAATGTATTAAAAAATCTTTTTCTTTTTTTTGTTCGTTCTTTTAAATATTTGATTTAATATTTCAAGGTATTGTGAGTTCGTCAAACATCCGGTATATAAGTGGAGAACTTGATTCCGCTATCTCATTTCGATGTGAAATTGCTCAATTACCATTCAATGCCGTTGTATGTCTTCTTCGATTTTTAAAAAAAAATCTTTCATCTCTGTTTGAATACAATAATTTTCAGATAACTTGGGTATATCGACCAAAAATTCCTACAGTAAATGGTATAAAATGGTTACCATTATATGCAAATGCACGTCGTTTAACACAAAATAATCGACGTTTTATAGTTGATTATAGTGGTTATAATGTTCAAACACACACACATTTATCAATATTAACAATAAATCAATTAAATTTATCTGATGAAGGAATTTATATGTGTAAATCAAATCAACATCAATCAATAGCAAATATTTATAATTTAACTGTAACTCGTAAGAGAAAATTTTTCTTTTCTTAAAAAAACAAAAAGGAAACGAAAACAACTTTATTTTTATTTTTATTTATTTTTTTTTATTAAAGCTTCAATGAAAATTTTTCCAAATGATGGAATTATTGAATTAAATCCTTATCAACGATCAATTAATTTATCATGTACAGTACGAGAATTATCAACAAATATAATTGATCCATTAAAAATAAAATGGTATCATAATAAACATCATATAAATCAACATAAAACATCACATTTAATTAATAAATATCCACATAATAATCAAGCTACATTAATATTAAATATACATAATTTATCATTAAATGATTCAGGATTATTTGAATGTATTTATAATAATGATATAATAGGCAAAGGTGTTCAAATATTTTATACTTCTTCGGGTAATACAATTTTTTTTTTTGTCTTTGATATTTATTAATAACTATAACTATATATATATGTATGTTCTAGTGCTTGGATATTCTAAATCTATAAGTCGAAAATTAATATCTTCTTCATGGATATTATTAGTTTATAATATGATCATCATATTTATTACAACATGATAAACAAATTATCTTTTCTATTTTATCGTATTTTTCTTTTCTTTTTCTCGTTTTCTGTTTTTTTCTTTTGATGCATGTGTGTCGCACAGTGTTTGTTATCTTGTTTGCTTTTCTTTTTTTTTTTTTTTTTTTCTTTCTGTTCATCGATCCAAATTATAAATGAAGATGACAGTAGACTATCTCAATATTAGACCTTGTCATTGAAACTAGTTGTAAGCATATTCACATGAGAATATCGAAAAGGGAAAAGTCAAACAATGAATTTTTTTACATATCGATAAAAATTTCTATCACCATATATTGCCCTTGAAAATATGTCGTTCGACATATTTCCAATTACAGTTATATTAGAAAAAAAAGAAAGAAGAGGAAATGTGAAGTAAAAAATTGATGACAAATATTTAACAAAAGCAAGAGTGCAACAATTTTCTTCGTCATCACTGTTTGAATTTCTTATGTTACACTTACTTAGTGATTATTACATCATCATCATCATCATCAGTATATCTAAAAATAATCATCTTTCTTCTTCTCATTCTGTCTTACATTGCTCATCCGGGAAATAGGCTAAGAACGGATTAGTAGTTGTAGTACCACTGGCAATTGATACATTCTAAAAATGAATTCATTATCAAGCCACAAGGACAGAATTTGTTTCCTAATACACCAGAGTTTAACGCAGTACTTATTAAAAAGAATGCTAAATACAATTTATTATTACAAATCAAAACTTTGTTCATCATCATCATCATTATAAAAATGTCTCGAACGAACACGTTCACGTAACAATTCTACATCACAAACATATTCAGATGGAACTTTTGAACATACTAAGTCATTTGATATAACTGTTACAAGTTTATTTTTATTCCACATTGATAATTCATTTCTTGTTTCATATAAGATAACAAAACTACCTTGTTGCATTGAAAAATGACAACCACATTTACATTCATAATTATTAAGAACAAGTAGTAATCGATAATGATGATATAATTTAGCAAAATATTGTTTTCGAATAATTGAATGTGATAGTTTTGTTTGAATAGGTAAAGAAAGTGGAGATGATACTGAAGAAAGACAAGTACGAAAAAGATGACGACATTTAGACATAGATTTATTATTTGATAGAAGTTGTGATCGACGCCGTGGTGGAGGAGGAGGAGG